AAATACAACATTCTTTCAATTAATACATCTATAAATAAAGTCAAATAAAATAAGACAAACAATTAGAGATTAAATAAGTAGTTTAAATAAAATGATGGTTTCCTTAGTTCTGTCCATATAATTTGAAAAAAAACATGAGGGATCCATTATGTGTTCATCTTATGGTCCGGCACTGAGTTTCCTTGTTGAAATTGGTCTGTAAAGTACTGCTGATGCTCCTTGCTTCTATTAACCTTCTTCTCTTTGTAAAATAATCTGCAAAGAAGAATAAAAAGAAAGAACATTTTAGAGATTTAAAGCTTATTTTCTAACTTTTTAAGGTTATAGGAGAGAAAATGTGAAAATTTTTTATTACCTGTAATTCTTGCATTCTTTGAATTGGCTGCAGGTTTAGAGAGTGACATTTTCCTCCGGACAGGAGTCCTTTCAGATTGACACTTAAATCCGTTGGACACACTTAAGCAGTTTTCTTGGTTGGAGCCAAACGGATCGTCGTTATTACTTACTCTGCCTTCATCCTTGGTTTTTGGAAAATTTACATCAACCGTTGGCTGTGGGGTCTCCTGATAGAAAACGGAAACACAAGCTGCAGGTGTTTCCTCCCATTGAAACCTGCCAAGCTGTGGTGTCTCAGACTGGAAGTCAAAGTTCCAGCGCCGGCAGTCCTGCTCCATTATCTCCTTTAGTTTCAGCTGTAATTCTTGATGTAGCTGTTTGTGGTCTACTGGACCAAAGAGGTTCCGGCGAACAGACTCTATGTGTCTAATATTCATCATTCAAAAATTTCAAAGGAGTTTGGATGGTATAACTCTTCTGGCAGAAGATGTTGCGGATGAGTCCCTCTGCTCTTCTCTTTCCATCATGATGCTGCAGGATATTTAAAGGCTACAGAGCACACAATGTTTTGTTTGTACACAATGAGCAAAGACTTCTGATTGGCTGCAGCTGTCAGTAGTAGGCAGAAGCAACAGAGGGGGTAGAATCGGATCATTGTATGATGAAACCCATTGATACTCTAAAAGCCTTAAGTCTGCGTTGACAGGCAAAGGTCTATTTAGAATTATCATAACAATAGTGATGTTTTTCCTACTGAGGACACTGTTGATGCATAGGCCGGAGATACTTTAAATCAGGTCATACTACACCCTCGATTCCTTCCATGTTAGTCTTCATTGTCATTTCGGTGCAGTGGAGGCTTGTGGAGTTTCCTTCAGAGGGGCTATACATTTAAAATAGACGTATTCCAGAAAGCCAGTCAAACATATACTCAGTTATCACACCAGTATATTCACCAGTATATCCACATGAATGCCAACAACAGAAATATAGAAAACCCCTTTATAAAAACAAAAACTTAATTTCATGTATAATGAAATTATAATGTCACATATTAAGTTTTTTGTACATAAATCTTGAGGCTTTGTAAAGGCCAATCTTTTTTTTTTTGCATGGTCCAATATGGTGTCACAAAACTAAAAAAAAACAAGAAAAAGCTGTTTCGGAGAAACAGGGAAGAGGAAATGCTTTTTTCCGCTGAATGAAAAAATAAAAATTTGCCAAAGAAACTGAATGAAGAAAAAAAAAAGTAGAAATTAGCTTAAGAACATATGACAATGCTGTGATCACAGACTTTGAACTGCAGAAAACAATTGAATCATCAGAAGATTTTGCTGCACCCTGGGATCCCCAATCCTTTTGCATTGCATAGCAGCTACTGCAAATGTACAACATTTAACGAGAGTCAATGGCCAAAGATTTTTATGCCCTAGGATGGACTGGAAGGGAGTCAAATGCCGATTGTTAGCAGGTCAACCCGTGTTTGAAACACCCACATTGACCCGCTAATTTGGTTGGGAATGAGGTTTAAATGTTTTTTATTGTTTTGTCCTTTTATATGTCCGAATCCCTCTCACCAGTGCTGCAGCATGTTTATCGAATGTAAGCCGAGTTGTTTTGGCTAGTTAGATCAGATGCGTCTGCCGCAGTATGTTGATGACCGTACGTTGCATTCAAAGTTAACGGGTGGACCATGGTTTGATGTTCCCACTATATGCCGATCAGAGCTGATTTTAACCCGGGTTGCTAGCAGAGTCGTTTGACTCGGGTCAAACGACTGCCACTAAATGCTGATGGTTGCCAGGTTTGAATGGGTTTTTTGGCCAGTGGGAAAGGGACATATAATTTAAATTTGAAATTATCTATCCTCTGTGTTGCTGAATAAACAAAAAAGAAAAGAAAGAAAGAAGTTTTTTTTAAAGACTCTTATGTGGTAAAAATAGGAGTTGTCCTACTTAGTGCTCAGTAACAAAACTAAAGTGCAAAAAAGGTACAAATGTAACAACTAGCTATTGATTTCATTGATTTATTCTGCTATACCAGCACAAATACAAGATAAATAAAGCAAATATATTTCATGCTTATTGTAAGATTTTTAAATCTAGTATGGTGGAGGAAAAGAGAAACATCTTTGTCTGCTCTGTTTATGTATGTCACAGCAGACTAGATGGAACACATTTGCTTTGCAATTAAAAAACCAGAGCAGAAATCAGTTTGATTTAATTTAGAAAGACTTCCTTTAAACGGCCTTACATCAAAGTAGCCGGGACTAAAAAGTAAGAAACAAAAAAGGATGAATTTTAAAACAGGATTTAGAAGAAAATTACACTTTTATAAACTTTGATGAATCACATTATGCATCATTTAGCCGTCCAGACTGGATCTCTTTTTACTCACATCAGAGGGAACAAAATGGTTATAAGCAGGACTCTCTGAACATGAGGACTAAATAACCCAAGATTTAACTACTGGTCTCTAGACAGGCAGATGACTACTCTAACATACCACTCTAGGATACTCTAAGGACACATTGTCCTCTGAAATGTTTAATGTTCCACAATATTTGACGTTTATTAGTGCAGGTCTTCTACTTTGATTTTTTATGTACACTTTAATGGAGTGACAGCGGCTTAGAGTTTGTTTTGTAACCAGCCGATTGCTGGTTCAAGCACCTGCTCAGTCTCTCGCAGTCATTTATATGCTTGAGCAAGACTCTTTACATTACCTGCTTTGCCTTCTGCTGAAGGGCATATTTGCTTCTTGTTGTAGGTAGCTTCAATTAACCATCAATGTGTGTATGCAGGGGTAACTATTGCAGGAGTTCAAACCAAACGTTAAAACAAAGCAGAAAATGTTGTTAAATATAAATGTGAGGTGGTTGTTGGAACGGCTTGTCTGATTATGAGTTTTATGCTTATTGCATCAACACAGACCACAGGCAGGGTAGTTTGAGATGACAATGTCCTCTTCTTAAAACTAATGTGTGCAGTGACCACAAGTTTATAACACATTAGCAATTCTGCATCTCTCCCCTCTTTTTTCAAAAGAAAAGCTTTTTTTGTCGTTCTTCAGCTGCAAACCAGAAAAGGTCTTATCAATACAAACTACAAACAAAAAATGTATTCAATTTCAAAATAGATTCCGAAAAAAATAAAAAAATACCGGTAGATTGATAATAGACAGACAGACAGACAGAGTAGAGTAGAGTAGAGTACAGTAGAGTATAGTACAGTAGAGTACAGTAGAGTAGAGTACAGTAGAATAGAGTATTCCTTAAAAAAAGAGCCCTGACCATACAAGCTCACTAACTTTGTCTTTAATCTAAACTTTAAGCAAAATGCTCGGTTACACTAGCAAAGAAAGCAATGCTGAGTATTGGAATGAAACTATTTATCTATCGAAAAACTTCTTAAACTATTTAAAATCTACTTAACATCTCAGTTAAACGGAGCAAGGACGCAAATTCTTGTGACCATGGTGTTCTTGCCTTCTGTGATCTACCTACACATGACAACTGATATATAATACACTAATGATGTAGAATCCAACAGATCGCCTTAGGAATGCTGTGAATCTGTCATGATTCGTGGCACTAGTGCTGGTTTGATTCAGGACTAAACACAACTGTCAGCTCCACCCTGTTTCCAATCAGCCTCCATCTCATTCCCCTGTTTACCTGATTATATACTGTAACTAGCTCTCTAACCAGTCACTGATGCCTGTCTGCCTGCCTGATTCTGACCCAAATCTGCCTCCTCATTCTCTGATCCTACCTGAACCCTTATCTGACCTGTCATAGTGTGTGTTTGGATCTCTGACCTGTTTCTATACCCTGACCTTGCTCTCAGATAATCGTCTAGATTGTCTCTGGTTCTCGGTTCACCTGGCTTTGACTCTGAACCGGTTTTCGGATTATTTACTCTGTTTTGTCCCCTTGATTATTCTGCCTGTCTCTGCCCATCTCTGACCCCGTACATTCCCATGGACCAACGATTAACTGTCAAAGAAGGATGCCTTCAGATCATTCTGGACGGATTCTGGAATCCTCTGGAAACCCTGACCTGCAGCAGTTCCACATTTCAATAAACTGTTTAAACATCTCCTGTTGTTCTGGTTGAATTCTGAGTCTTCCTTATTCTGGTCATTACAGAGCCACAGGATTCCCATTACAGATCTCTTGGTAACACATCTGCAGCAACTGGATGATCCTGTCAATAAGGGTTAAAGTATCTCATAGAGGTTTCCAATTGCTCATTTGAAATAGGCTAGTATTAAACTAGGTTGATTTTAAAGGCAAAAGGTAGTCCAACTACATAAAATCAAGGTGTACGAAATAAAGTCGATAATATGGGTTTAATTTGTACTTCATATTTACACTAAGATTATTTCATCACATTCACTGATCCTCAGTTTTATTTCCGGCATACTCTTTGTAGTGGTGTTAATAATTCTGCAGTATATTTTGTGGTGCCCCCTTTTTGTCAGTTCAGAAATGACAACTAATGCAAAAAGTATGCCACAAATCTATAGAAAAAAGCCTCCTTAAATACTAAAGGTGTGGTCCGGATGGGAACAGAGCAATGTGGCTAACCAACATGCAAAATAACTGTGCACAAGAGCTTCAGGGATTGGCTCGGTAGCAGAATATCTTTATGCAACCTCCTGATGGGCCAGGTGGTTTACCTGAAGGGAAAACGTCTCAGTCTCTCCTGCTGTGGTTAAGGTGAACAAGGGGAAAGGTTGGTGTCGACCATGCCGGAGAAGCAAGACACACCTCTGGTAAGTGCCCGTTGCAATGTCTTTTACCTTAGTTAACACAATCCAAATGTCTACATTTAAGGAAACAACAACATTTATGGCTGTTGCAGTTTTTATACTTTTTTTTTCAATTATAATGAACAAATATGGTAAAATTTATTTAGGAATTAAGTATTTCATAAGGAAAATAATGAGACCTTAACCTGCAGAAGATGTAATAACTGGTGCACTTTTTTAACACCAAAGTACACATTATCTCAGGGGACTATGTATCATAAATGATATCCTTGCATTAGTAATAACAAATAAGAGAATACATTTCCCTTAGAGAAGCACCTTGAAACCAAATAAACAAATAGCTTCAATTATACAGGTTAAAGGCCTTTTCACAGGCCTTTTCACAGAACGATGCATACCTTGAATTGTGCATTCTATAGGTATTTCCTTGTATTTGCATTTGATAAATAGCTATTCTGCTTTGTTAAAACAAGTCCTGTAACAGCTACAAACAGCATTTTGTAAGAATCTGGGAAAAGTAACAGGTCTTCAAATGGTTTGAAAAAGAATATGGCAAATATCAAGGTAATAGCCTCTACTTTACCCTCTCTTGTGTAACAGAAGCAGCTAACAAAGCTTCTGCATTGTGATACACAAGGTTGTTTAAATTGTAAACCAATTTTTTACTCCCTGTAGTCAAGTCCCGAATGACGGACCTTAAATAAACTTTATGGAATGCAAGCATGAACTGAATTCTCCCTTTAAAATATTTCCTCCCCCAAACCCAACAGAGCCACATGGACTCAGCTCCACATCATTCTCCCCACCTTTGCATGCAAATTATCCTGTTTGCATGTCCAGTAGTCAGTTTCCTCTCAAACCATACCTGTAGTCAAATAAAGGCTTCCATACTTAGCTGCCTCTATAATATCAAAGATGCTGCAAAACAGACATTAGCTTTCATTCCAAAGTACACAGAGGGACATTTTTTCCTTTATATGATTCGGACATGCTTGTCTCTTATTTTACTAACAATCTTTCATAAGTGCCTGAATGGCCATGCAAATAAGACTGAATGATAAAATCCTGTGCTTACTGAGGCAAAGGGAAAATCTTATCATTAAAAAAGGAGTTTCTGTAATGACTGGGAGCCATGTATTTCTAAGAATTGTTTGTTTGCAGTTCTGTCACATAGTTATGTCCTAAATAGAACATGAAATCAACAGTTGTTATACATAAATATATATAAAGAGAAACGATGTATTATATATACCAGATCATTGTAAAATATTAACTGAAATGAGGCAACTGTTGTTGTCATGGTTTGGTGTTGTTTTTCCTCAATACTTGAAGAAGTTACATGGTTTCAATGACTGGGCCAAAGTTCAGTAACTGAAGATGGCACAACATCTGCACGGTTGCCTGAAACAGTTGTGGACAAGCTCTGTCCTCACTGTCTCAGAGAATTTGAGAACCTTTGCAAGGCAAAATGGACAAACACAGCCCTTCCAATATGTTGGATTTACACAGAGATTCACTAAAGAGACTGAACACTAAGTTATATCAAAGAAATGTTGTTTGTTAATATGAGCCCTCATTTATGCACCTAGGCTGTTTCAGGATTTTATTTTCTTATATTTTCCTCTAAGTGTATTGGTTTTGCAGTTAAATATTACAAGATATGTATCACATTAAAGGTCAAAATGCTTTCATATTGTTTTTATTTTTTTTTTATTTAATATTTTACATCACCATAATCTACCCTTTTATCAAAGTTATTTTTTTATAGTCCTTGTAAATATAAATAAATAAACAAGAAACTCACACGAGTTTCCTGTTATATAAGTCCACCATATAGAGTCCAGTATCATCTCTTTGATGGACTATGGTTGGTGTATTTTCTATGCTAGAAATTATACTGGATAATGTGCTTTGCATATGAGGCGGGAATGAAAATTGTGCCAGCTTTGCATTAACCACAAATACTTATTACCCCCCATCCATCCATATATGGATGGTGAGTGAACTCAAATGGATTTAGTGGAAAACCGATCTGATGTCTGGGTATTTATTTGTTTGCAGAGGCCACTGGAGCCACAAACACGATGCCTTCGGTGTGGGGAAACCCTGGAGTGGTCAGAAGAACACAGGTGTGTCAATGTGTAACAGAACACAACAATGATGTGAAAAAACAGAGAAGTCCTGAGTAAAACTAACTTGATCTTTTACTGACATCTATTGCTTAATTGCAAAGAAACTGTTTTACTTCTTTCAGATTGGTGAATTAATATGGAGGCTTTCAACAGGACGCAAGCATTTGTGCATGACTAAAAAGTCTTAACTAGATCCAAGTAGATTTTTTTTAATATTCATGAGAAATAGTCATTTCTAAGCTGCTGAATAGAATGCTTTGTAGAACAATGTAGCTCTTAGCTACATTGTTGGTAAGGAGGATTAGTGACAACACAGCCAAACCACAAAGCACTCGCAGTTCCCCCCTTGATCTAAAATACTTATCTAAAATCCATACTGATTTTGTGAGTTTAGGTTTGAATTTCTTTTTATTTTATAAAAACTTGGCAATGTAAAGTTCTCATGAGGCATGCCGCCATATATACTGTATAACAATTTTATTCACAATGCTTTATGTAAAATTACCTTCACTAGAAACCTTCCTGGAGCTGGAACAGCCAGGAAAAAATATGTATGTCCCCTTTCCAATTTCTATGCCTGGATTCCTGTTGCTTGCATGACTGCCCCTCCTGGCGAGGGGGCATCTATAGGCAGTGTCAAAAACAATAGCTGAGATTAAAAGTGTTTGGGAATTAAAGATTTAGATTATTGAAAAGTACTTTCCAATTCCATGTTTCAACAAGACAGTAATATGATTAATAAATGCTTTGTTTTTTAAGGATTATTTAGGATGAAAAACTGAACATATGTGGAGTCAAGATTTCATTTAGACAGATGCATGTGTCATACTATCTACTATTTGCTCTAAACAGACTTCTTTTGGGTTTTTTGTGAAATTTAATCTTTTACATGATTAAAAACAATATCAAAAAAGGTGACCTGGGAGGATGGTAAATTCAGTTTTCAATTGATGAGTTACAGAGGAAAGTAAAAACCCTTCTTTGTTCCCTTCATCGTGTTCACTTAACCAGGTGATTAGTCCCTTAGGTGATTAGTCTACATTGTGGAGCTGGAAACGGAAATGGTTGGAACTGATCTTTGTACAGGCCTTTTACTTTCTGGACCTGGATTATCCACCACTGATGCTTTATTTCACTCAGGGGGAAAAAGCAACCCAAACAAACTTGACTATTGGTAAAACAGGCTGTTCTATCCCTATCAACAACTGCCAATGTTTTCACTGGCAAAAATTCTACCACAAAGATATATGAGTAAAAGCTTTGTTACAAACAAAGACCAGTGGGTAGAGATGAGGAATAGGACTAGAACATGGGAAAAAAGATGAGGGAGGAAAGTGAAAGATAAATGAGGTGTGTGTTATTGTAAAAGATTAGGGGGTGGGGCTGGAAAAACACTGTGAAGGATGTGTTCAGTGGGTAGACTGCTGGGTAATTAGAGGTGTGGTTGAGGCGTGGGCCTTGACCCAAAATTAAGTTAACATAATAAATTTATCAAATGATGACCATAAATCATTTACCTCATTGTGTAGATATTATCACCTATTGTTTGAAAAATAAAAAAAAAGTTTTCAGCCACATCAATGGATTTTTATAAATATATGTGATTTGTTTAAGGTCTTTTCACAGCATTGCAATCCTATTTATTTAAAAAATTTGATCAGGTTGCTCAACATCCCTTTTCCTTTTGTTAGATATATAACATTTATGTAATGAAAATATTAATTTAATACCCCAGCAACAATAATTTTAAAGAAAAAATAAAGAAATCATTATCAATCAAATCATACAGAGGGATACCAATTAAGTTTATAGCTTCCAAAACGGTCACAGTTTTTCATCAGTGCAGTCAGGCTGTCTTTTTTTTTTCGTTTATCATTTGGATTTTTTAAATCTATGTAACACCTGCAGATTGCATCATAACACATTTACATTAATAATGTATCTTATATTAGTATGAGAGAACTGTGGACAGTCACTCATACATTGCAGTTATTTTTGCAGCAATGTCATACTAAGTATGCATGTAGTGACAGTGGAAAGAAAAACTCCACTCTAATAGAAAGCAACCTCCAGCTGAAGGAGACTTAGTGTGAAAAGCCTTTTTGAACCACTGAGGGATTAAGAGGACAGAGCATAAATGAGAAAATAACAAAATCTTGTATCAGTGAACTAGAGTTACTTTCTAAATGAAAGTAAAAAAAAAAATGGCATTGGTAGTTCCTTAAGTGTTTTTTTCTTGCAGAGAATCAATACTGAGCTGATAATCTCAAGGTCAGTTATAATGCAAGAGAGAATCTGGAGTTAGTTGTATTTTAAGTTCAGCCTATGGCTAAATCTAACCAAGAGATAGAGTTTATCGATACTAAAGTTTTGGGCAGCAGTATCTTAGCCAATGCCCCCCTCCACAAAAGTGCTACAGCCAAACAGAACACCTGGAACATGTAGTTTCTTTGAAGAGAGAGAGAAAAGAAACTGAGATAGATCATAAAGTTAAAAGATGAAAGAGTGGCAAATAATAAAAAATTAGAGCATGATATAAGAGAGTAGTAGAGTGAGAAAAAGTGGTAATTATGTCCTCGAGCAGCCCAAGCCGACAGCAGCATAATTACAGATAACCTAAGGGACTTGATCAAAAAGGACATTTAAAGGCAAAACCTTAAAAGTAGAAAGGATTATCAGGGTTAAGTGCAAGTTCCATTGACATCATATGACCAGTTTTTAGAAATCTTTGCTACAAAGTGAGCAGTACAATTACCTTGGTAGATGATACTGTCTTACAGGCTATAGTGCCATTTATTGCCTGGTATATTGTTTTCAAGAAGTGAGTTGGGGTCACTCTGAATTAAATGTTTACTGTTGTGTGCTGAAGATGACTTTATGACACAGAACAATTACTGTGTCTTTGTAGTGTCCTCCTTGGCTGCTCGTGTTGTTCTGCAGTGGATGAGGCTATTGAGAATGTAGCCAGAGGCCTAGCCAACAAAATGAAGGAGAAAACTCACTGGGCAGCTGGAAGAGTGGGTGACATTGACTTTATTGGATCTACAAAGACTAAAGGAAAGGTGAGATTAATTTATACAAAAAAAAAAAAACATAAAATGAATGCATACAGTCTTGCAGAAATTGATTTGCCCACATGATTCTAACATCATAATTCTTTCCCTTTCATGCAGTTTGTGAGGGTTTGCAGCAACACAGACCCAGTTTTGATTTACAAGATGCTGACGGAGGAGTGGGGACTCTCTCCTCCACACTTGGTAGTGGCATTGGTGGGAGGAGATGAGCTCGCTCAGATGAAGCCCTGGCTCAGGGACACTCTTAGAAAAGGACTTGTGAAAGCGGCACAGAGCACAGGTTATAATCAATGGGCCAAAGCTAGCCTTGACTTTTCACAGCAAGAAAATAACTGGTCCCTAGCCTTTTGCTGAGTTGTGACCCAATTCTTACGCAAAAGAACTGCAATACACATTTTCATCTATCATGCTTTACCTCTAAATACATTTTCTTTTTTGTACTTTTCTTTTACACAAAGTAAATCTGTCAGTTTTAACAGAAGCTACATGTATATTAATAATGTATATTTATTAATATGCTAATGTATATTTATTTTTCTTATGTAATCTGAAAAAGAACCTTCTGGTCTAATATCAATGAGTATTTCTTTCATTTTCTATTTGAATTTGTGTTAAATATGCAATGAGTTAGAAGCCAGAAAATAATTGTAAAATCATCCATATAATCATCATTGGCATGGTATTATATTAATTGGACTCTTATGATGCCCTTAAACCATTAGTTTTTTGGCTACTATCATGTTACTCTTCATCAGCAAAAATTTGTTTTGCATATTTAAATTAAAATTGTATATTCTCTAATCCTCAGTACACCCCCACTAATAATGAATGATCCACACATTTGTTGCTATCAGTGTCCTGTAATGAGGACAAGATAATGTCAAACTCAGAAAGTATATAAGAACCGTTCAATTAAAAATGTTGTAAACCCGCCACAGACTCAGCCTTTGTACAAATTTTCAATAGAGTTTTCAATTCCTAGCCTAGTTTTACTGTATTTTGGATCATTTTAGAATTAAACGCTGTTTTTTACTTAAATACCTAGGTGTCCTTTAGGGTTAAGTTTAAAAAAAAATGGAGATGATCCTGCTTCTTTATCATTTGTTCAATAGACCATCTTTATGACACTTTTTGACATATTTATACATATTAAACTTCGAGCAAGACAGTTATGTCTAAAAGCTAAGTCTGTTTCAGAAAGAAAGTGAAAAAATTTAGTTTATCTGTTGCTTTGTAAGGCAACTTTAACCAAATATAAGCGAGTCAACCTGAGTAAATGCAAATGTTTGTATCTTAGTGTTGTTTATCTGTTGTATGTAATTTTCCATGGAAAAATAGTGGTTAACATACATAATCAAAAGTTAGATATAACACTCCTGCCTTTGATGAGCGTATATAAATTTCATCTGTTTGTCTGTTCTCCAGGGGCATGGATTTTAACTAACGGTCTGCGCTTTGGGATAACCAAGCATTTGGGTCAGGCAGTGAGAGATCACTCCTTGGCCAGCACCTCCTCTAAAGTTCGTGTAGTGGCCATTGGTATCGCACCCTGGAACATGATCCACAACCGAGAAGCTCTCCTTACTGCCAAGGTTTACTCTTGCACTACAATACATTTTCACTTAAGGCCACAGTGTCCTCTTTGACTTCAACACTTTTATGCTCTTCTCAGAGTCTATGCATTCTAATACTGATTTCCCTAAGGTGGATGAGCCTGCAGTATACAGACCACAGGATTTGCCCCATGGCTCAGTGTATTCCTTGGACAGTAACCATTCTCATTTTGTGCTTGTGGAAGAGGATCCCAACAGACCAGGAGCCACGAGTGAAATGAGAGTAAAGCTGCTCAAACACATCTCCCTTCAGCGGACCGGTTATGGAGGTAAACGCTTCAGGCTTCAGCCAGAGATAATCTTTTTTGCAGACAAGGGATTAACATTACTTAATTAAAATTTAAAGTTTAGATTTAGATTTCATGTTTGTAGAATAAGCTACTTTTTAAGAATAAATTATAAAACCAGGATAATATTTTATTAAAGTCCTAGTTGGTTTAAATTATGCATACAATGAGCTTTATTGGATTGTTATGCTGTACAGAAATCATGCTACTGTTTAATATAGGAATATCTTATTAGAATCCTTCATCATATTTGATGACTTTTTGGTGTTATGAGAAGAAGCACCATTCAAGTTAAATGTTCTTTTTAGGTCACAAAACGTTGCTATTCCTTATTCCAAGTGTTCAAGCTTTCCTGTGTAACTTAAAAGGAAAAAAAATTAACCTGAAATGCAAGCCGCAGAAACCTTTGGTCATTTGAGGACACTCTTCTCCTCTTCATTGTTTGAACACCATTTAGACTAACAACAGATTGGCTAACTGAGTGTAGTGGAATGATGCATCCAGTTGCAATGAGTTTTTCCCAAGAATAGAATGACGCGATTGAAATGACAGTAGACTATTTTCTCTCTCCTGTTTGTAAATGCACCAATGCCTTCTTTTTGCTACAACTGTAGATATTTCTGAGTGCAGGGTTTTCACCGGGCTTTCAAATGTGCTAAATTAAGATGTAAAAACTGCCACTGAGGTCTGTTTCATATTTGATAAATAGCATTGCTTGTTACAATCCTCCTCCCAGTATATTTTACCTTCCAAGAGTAAACATATGTTCTGCATATTCATGAGGGGAAAAAACTTTAAATGAATTTCCCCTGTCATTCTGGCTTCACCGTTGCAATTCTGGCTGCGACTGGTTAGTTGATCAGCTTTGCAGATATCATAACAAGTCTTTAGAAAATCAAGGTCTATATTTACTCTTCGCACACTCTATTTATATTATTTTTAATGTGTAGAACAAGTTTTCAAAACTGGTATAAGCAGAAGGCCTTACAAAGTAAGTGCTTTTTAACAGTATACATGTTTATTATCATCTAATCAACCGCAAAATACTGGGGCTCATGTATATTATTGACGACGCAAAGTTTTGCAAGAGTGTAAAGTCGAGGGAGAAGAATACATAGTTTTCATAATTGTTGACAAAAAACAAAAAGGAGTTGTGTTTTTATATTGATCCCCCAAAGTAAATACTCTATGTTTTGCTGTCTCGTAAAGGTTTCCATCTTTTCAGTGCCCCCACCCATACATCCTCCCACCATCTCCCCATTCCACTATCCATTTTCTTAAAAAACCACATGGTTCAGCTATTTCATCATTATTCCAAGCTGAACTGTATTACGGGGTTCATTTTCTGCCACACATTATTTTCCATGTAGGTCAAACATTTTGGTCTGGTCTGAAACATCTTTACCATAGCACCCATTTTTGAACAGTGCATCAAAACATTTTCCATTTGGGTATTTATAATTAATTACATCTATTGTTTTATATGCTAATACCACTTAAAATATCTACAACTATATCCACCAACAGTCTAAAGAGTGGATTGGATTTTGTGATGCTTCATGTTCAATAAAGTTCTCCCAGGAACCCTTCACAGAGCATTTGTATTCATGCTAAGACCAAATTTCCCACATGGTGGGTTTTTTCAATATCATAAGGAGTTTGGAAGCCTGAGGGATTATTTCATTAATGGGTGTCAGAGAAAATGGGATGGACCACATTTAAAAACAAACTACAATTTTCTTGTTGTTTAAAAAAAAAAAAAAAAAAAGTTTTAAATAGCATGAATATTTTTCCTTCCATTCACATCAATGCACTAGTTTGTACTGCTCTAATATGTCTTTCTTTTTTGGATAAAAGTTCAAATATATAGTTTCCTCAGCAAAGAAATGGTTAAACAACCATATGGTGGCTGACTCTATTTACTCCTTACACGGTAAAGTGATTTTAGATCTGTAAAAGACAGTAATCTGCATTGCAGGAGCAGGAAGTTTTGAGATCCCTGTTCTGTGTCTCCTGGTCCACGGGGAGCCCAGGATCCTAAAGGTAATCTTTATTTACTTATGCTGTGTTATTTATTTATGTTAAAGAAATAGCCCCAAACAATGTCCTAGAAATTCAGATTTGGTTTTATTTTCTAATCACTATTGTTTGACTCATTAAACAGTGTGACTCTGAACACACTTAATTAGGCTTGAGAATCAGGCAATGTGCCATCTCCTGTAGAAGCAAGCCAAAGGCAGACAAAGAACAAACACTTCATGCTATTACAAAACCTATCTGTTCGACCAAAAAAAGCCTGTCCAGAGATTATTCTGCATAAACATGGTGATAAATGAGGAGATGGAAGACTGCAGCATTATCTGAACAATGTGGCTGTCTACTGATAACATTTTTTTCTCCTCTTGCAGAGGATGTATAAAGGCATTGGAAATTTCACACCCTGGCTGATTCTGGCAGGCTCTGGAGGCGTGGCTGACATCCTAGTCACGCTGATGAACAGAGGCTGCTGGGACACAGACAGCGTTCATGAGCTGCTGTTGGACACCTTTCCTAATGCCCACCACAGCACGGACATCAGTAACTGGGTCAAGCTGGTGAGAGCCATGTGCACGCCAAGAGGGCAGACGCTAACAAAGATATGCACTTGTCAAGTATTGAACAATGGCATAAAAGTGGGGCACACTGGGAAACATAGTGAGACAAGCTTGTGTGTGGGTTTCATATTTATCCCAGGAAAATGTGTGATATTAACTCTGCAAGATCGGATGTTTGATGCACTGATGCTTTCTAACATTTTTACACTTTAGAAATACATACATGTGCACATATATACATATATATTTATAGATATTTATATATATGTAATTATTCTAACTAACTGTCAACCTGCCTAACAGATCCAAAAGATACTCGATCATGGGCACCTTCTGACTGTCCATGACCCAGAACAGGAAAGCTCCGAGCTGGATACAGTCATTCTGAAAGCTCTTGTCAAGGGTAAAGTTCCATTTACAGAAGAAATCCTTGGTGTTGCACAGTTTGGGATTTCTGTCTTGAAAGAGCCGTGACATTTTGTGTTCTTCACTGCCTGTGGACATGTTGGCATTTTATGTGTCTGTGTGTTTATCAGCCTGTAAGAGTCAAAGTCAAGAAGCTCAAGACTTTCTGGATGAGCTGAAGCTGGCTGTGGCCTGGAACAGAGTGGACATTGCCAAGAGTGACATTTTTAACGGAGATGTGGAATGGAAGGTTGGTAAATACTAAATGTTCGGGCAGTCTGTTTGTTTCTTTGTCAAGAGGGTTTGCACATCAAATAACAAGTAAAATTGATCTAAATATGATGCCATTCAGCTCTTTTCTTTTAACATTAAGACCTGTCAAGTCTTTCAAATACCAGTTTTGGTGTGCCTCTGTGTTTGTACAGGTGCTTCTACATCACTACAAACGGAGTAGAATTAGAAGGGTTGTGCTGTGTAAGGATAGGCATGTTTTATAATTTTAAAGTTTTTTTATGTATTCTCGTTCAGTGTTAGCTCACCTTCCAACCAATTCAACCCTAAACTTGTCATTCAACAAGAAAATACTTTATTAATCCCAGCTGATCTCTGGTGCATTTACAGGCTTTTGGCCATAGAAAGCTTAATCTACAGTATGTGTATCAGTACTCATTAAAGATTTAACAGAAATGCGTTAAATGTTTACCACCATGACTCATTGTGTTAGTTTGTTTCATCATACCTATAATTTTTTATAAATAGCACAAATAAGTCTGTTTTGTAAGGAATTAACCTCTAGATTTACCAACAGGATCAGTCTACCTTGCACAGCACACATTTCATGGTGTACCAACCAGTTCTGTTCACACAACTTCTAAGTTAGGATGGCTGTAAATTTACTCAACCTGCCAACATTCGTTTTTTTAATTGACTTAATAATTAACTTTGACTCATACGGTTGCATAAAAGCAGGAATGTCATTGTGTGTTAAAGTAAAGAAGTTTGTGACATAACCAGTAAAATGACAAAAAAATCCTATAGATTTAAAGACAGACTGAAACATATTGTATAATTGCTGCAGGCTTGCGACCTTGAGGAGGTGATGATGGATGCCCTCATTAATGACAAACCAGACTTTGTTCGCCTCTTTGTGGACAACGGGGTGAACCTGGGGGAGTTTCTTACCTATGGGCGCCTACAGGAGCTTTACTGGTCTGTGTCGGAAAAAAGCCTCCTCCACAACCTGCTTCTGAAAAAGTATGAAGAGAAGCAGCTCTTGCTTGGGGCAGCAAGGACACCTGGTCCACCAGGACACCATCCCTCTGAGCAAGGAAAACCACGCTTCACCCTTTTTGAAGTAGCCAAAGTCCTGAAGGACTTCCTGCATGACTCTTGCAAAGGCTTTTACCAAAAGATGCCTGCTGTGAGTGATTTACGCTGACTGTGACTTAGAAGTAAAGTTGATACACCTCCAACCTTATTGTTAAGATAAATTCTTAATCAGTGTGGATGTTCTATGTCCCTTTGCTTCCAATCTAAAATGTATTGTTTGACACCTATCATAGTTTGCATCTGACCTAATTTTGCTATCTCACTCTCTCAGATTGAATTTATTTGACACATGAGAAATTACAGGGGATCTGATAAAATACACATTTCTTGATTAACTCAATCCACTGGAGAATATTGAATCTTTAATAGACAATTTCATGCTAACTCATTCTTAACTGGCTGGAATAAAACATAAAAGCTAACTAATAAAAGGACCACAGTTTCATATTGGTCACATCTCTTTCTACCTACAATTCCATTAACTGTATTCTTTAAAAAGATGGATACAGCTTATCAGTTTAAAATGCATCACCTAAAATTATGCTACACCCTTGTTTTAAATATAACTGTCTTCTAGTATTTGTTTTAGTCCATGTTCTTTAATGACTTTTGTGCATTAAATGTATTTTGCCTTTTGGGAGGTTTTTTTAGATAACACAAAGACAAGCAGGGAAAAAAAAAACTTTTTTCTAGTGATAGTGTTTTTTCCCCAGAAATGAATACCATTAATTGCATTACTCATTTGTGTACTAAATGTTGTGCATCCTGTCTGCAGCTGCCCATTTTAATAAACATGTTAAATACATTCAGTGCACTGTCTATGAACCCCAGGAGAAACCACCAAAGGGCCGATTGTTCCACAGCCAGAAGAACCTGCCTGAGTTCGAGGAGCGCTGTGAACATCCTTGGCGAGATCTTTTCCTCTGGGCTGTCCTTCAGAACCGACAGCAGATGGCTAACTACTTTTGGGCCATGGTCAGTCTTATCAGCTTCTTTGCTTATTTCAGTTCCAGCTTGTTGTATATCAGTCAGTAGCACCATAAATATGCCTGGCGCTGGAAAAATCCTCTCAACTAAAACTGCTAGGCTGCGTTAGTTATACACAGAGAGTGTAGCTTCAAATGAAGGGTGACAAGAGGCATGACGCCAGGCACAGAGCAGGTGTAGGTCAGTCCTGCCATATGCAAATGTCACACTAGATAAAAGAGCTCTGTAACTAGGTGAGCTAAAAAGCAATCTTATCTTAAAGAACAGTATTGAAATGAAGGTCATGTTGCTTGCTTAGACAGTTAGCCTGAGGTAAGATAGGGGAGGTATGCCTGAATTCCTGATGAAGTCAATGTGAAATATATCCTGATATGGGATTGAGAATATTTGATCTGTTTAAATGACATAAATCATTGGTAATCCATTTTTGTTTTAAACCAATTTTCATGGCCACTTTTTTAATAACTCCTCTAGCCTTCCCTGTAGTTAAACAACCAATTATTGTAATCTCCAAAGTGATCACCCTAATGTGCTCCTTCCTGGCTTCTTATTTCAAATATTATCTGAAAGTCTGGTAATTGCATGCAGTGTTTGCACACTTCTGCTGCATGTCGTTTTGCCTCTCGTGCTGTGTTCTGTATTTTCGGTCTACTGCTGGTGTACATAGAGAAGGTTAACAACTACGTACATGTAAACTAGTGTCGATCAAAAACAGGGTTATTAAAAAAAACATAACAGATTTACATATTGTATGACGAACACCTTTTAACTATAGAATCTGAACCGGTTTTGAAATGTTTTAATGCAATTAATCTTTCAAAGTTAGCAAAACTATTGTCATCATCTAGGCCTTCAACTTGCATGTTAGATTCAGTTCCAGCCAGGTTATATATTGAAGTATTCCCTCTGATTTCCACCCTCATTTTAGATGTGATTAACCTATCCCTGTTCCAGGGATATATACCAACGGCTGTTAAGGTTGCTGTAATTAAAGTTTTACTTAAGAATTCAATTATCGGCCTATATCTAATCTTCATTTCTTATCTAAATTTCTTATGAAAATATTCGGTGAACAAGTGTGTTGCTACATACACCATGATTATCTTTTTGAAGAGCTCTTGTGAAAGTCGCTAATGATATTCTCATGGCATCAGATAATGAACTTCTATCTGTATTTGTCCTGTTAGATCTCAAAGTGACATTTGCAAGATTTGTTTTAATTTTCATACCTAAATATTTTCTAGGAATTAAGGGCTATTAAGGCTTGTTTATATTGTATTTATCTGATGGATTTAAGTTTAAGTGATCAGTGATAAGTGATGTAAGGGATCAGTGCTAGGGCCAATTCTCTCTACTATATAAATGCTCCTAATTGGTAGACAGGATGGGATTCATTACCCCAATACTGACGATACTCGGCTAAATCCAGATTAAATTAAGCCTTATTTAGACTACAGGCATGTCTTAAAGACATAAAAACCTGGAGGAGTGCTATTTTGACCAGGACATTTTATTTAAATAACTTTTCAAAGAGGTTTCTAAAATTTCCTTCTTTCATCTGCGGAATATTGCAAAATTTGAAATATCTTATCCAGATATGATTTTAAGAAACTAGTCTGTGCTATGTTACTTCAGTGCTGAACTATTAAAATTCTTTATGATCATAAAGTCCACAAACTGTTATGAAAAGTCTTCAGCAGATCCACAATGCTGCAGCCAGAGTTCTTATGAAAATTTTAAAAAGAGATCATATCTCTCCTATCCTGGCTTCTCTTCATTGGCTTCCTGTTAAATCCAGAATAGAATTTAAAATCCTCCTTCTCACATATAAAGCCTTAAATGGCCAAGCTCTATCTTATATCAAAGATCTGATTGTTCCTTATGTCCCTAGAGCACTTCCCTCTCTATCTGCAGGTTTACTAGTAGTTCCTGGAATTTCTAAAAGTAGAATGGGAGGCCGAAATTTTAGTTATCAGGCGCCTTTCCTGTAGAACCAACTACCAGTTTTAGTCCGTGAGGCAGACACCCTGTCTACTTTTAAGGGTGGGCTTAAAACTTTCATTTTTGATAAATCTTATGGTTAGAGATGCTCAGGTTATCCTGAGCTATCTCAGTAGTTATGCTGCTATAGCCTTAGACTGCTGAAGGATACAGAGACCACTTTTGACCATTTTACTTCATTCTATATCAATTTTCCCATTCTGCAGTATTTTATTTATAACTTTTTACTCTCTCTGCTTTTTCTCATTATAGTAGCTTCATCTGGTTTGATCCTGTTTGGATGTGACTCCATCCTGGAGATAAATATCAGCTGTGCTGCTGCAATCTACACCTTTGTTTATAGATGTTGGAGCTTGGCCTGTTTTTCAGTGTAGTCCTGTTTCTCTAACTGTGACTAACTGTATGTTCTCTCTTTCATTCTCTGACATTGGAGCTGGCTCAGAGCTCGTCTGCTTGGATGCGTGCTTCCTGGATAAGGCCATTTTAGAGTTGGTTCATAGTTACCATTTGTAGCTCCCCTTCGTTCTATTTGTCTGCCTCTGTCTCCCTGTACCACAGTCGGCCTCAGCAAATGGTGGCTCACATTGAGACTGTTGTTTCTTCATGTTAAAAGGGAGGTTTCCTCTCCACTGTCACTACTAACTGTGAGGGACTGCTGTCGAGTCAATGAGTCGATGCAATCGGCTGGTGTTCCTTAGACAGAAACTTTGAATCATTCTGGATGAATACTCTCTGTTAAGTGCCTTGAGATAACATTTGTTGTGAATTGGTGCTATATAAATAAACCGAATTGAATTGAATGGAACTGGCCTGCTCTCATGGGCTCAAGTCTTTCTATTAAAAAAAAAAGCTATCAAATGTAAGTCCTAACCTTCAAGCAAACATTTCTACATCAAGGGAAATAAAATAAACTTTTGTCATCTCTCAGAGGTAAGCAGGTTTATGCTGATCATAATTAGTTTTACCGTAACAATCTTAAGATATGTAAAGGAAGTGAAGTGGCTAAGCCTCTGGAAGCACATAAAGGTTTATTAAACAAAATGAATGCACGTAACTTTTTACATACAATGATGACTCTATCTAATAACCTTAAGATGTTTCCCCTGAGGCCAGAGCTCACATTGAGGGAGAAATGATCGCCCTATACAGTTTAGAGGCTGTTCTGTATATCTCCTCAGGTCTTAAAAGAAAGAAATATTGCACTACATTGGTAATCACACCCAATGAATTTTAAACAGTGTGATATAGACAGGTCACTCATATTGTTTCTAGTGCTAACATTTCCACCTGTTTTTTGTTAATTATCTTAGAGTTCCTCAGTCCCTTTTTTCCTCTGAAGTATGGAAACACATGTTAATAATAACTATTACGTCTGGTGATAAGGAATTGTTTAACATTCTGTCTCATGCACTGAAAGTTAGATTCTGTATAAACTTCAACCAGTCTTTAATCATGTTCAGGTCCAGACAGTCAATAGCTTCAGTGTATTCCAGTAAGTGATTAAAATCCTCTCACAAAGATGACAATCAGTGCTTTTAAACACATCTGTACTTTCAATCAGAAAATCTAACCTGTTGTAAATGAAGTTCCCTGTAATAAATTACTTCACGTTCTTTCAGTTCACGGAAGTGAACTGAAATTGAACCCTGGGAGGAATCAGAGGAAAGCTAAATGAAATGTAAATTTGATAGTGGAAAGAAAAAAAAAAATGTTAAAAATCTTTAGAGAACAGAGTAGGGTTTTTAGATCACAGCATAAAGGTAGAAAGAGATTTCATAAATAAAATTTGATATTATTGTTGAGAATTTTTGAAGTCAGTGTGTGTCTGGCGTGTCACAGACAATATATGTGAAACAAGCACTTAAAATAGAACGTGAGAAAAATGGAAATTTCCCTCACTTTTCTGTTATTTAGCTCTGTCTATTTGTTATCCCTTTAATTGATCCATTATCAGAACAGAGGAGTTTAAGCTGTATGCTCTAACTTCCAGATGGAACATAACAATGACCTAATGGTTTATGAAATAGCATCTGGATTCATTCATTTTTTTTGTTTTATTTGGAAGGTTCAAGGTTGTCTTGGCCATTAGCTTTTTATTTTAGGATGAACAAATTTGGACTGTTACTAAATCATGAGTGTTTTTAGACTGTTCTGAACATTTTAAGATAATCGTAATAAAAAAATAAAAAAAAATAAATAAAAAAAAAGGATCTAGAACCATACTTTTAAACAGCTCTTTAACGTTTTCCTGACAAGTAAATGTTACACAGTGTCTATGGCTTAAGTCTTAAGAGTCAGTTCTTATACTTGTCCACAAAATAATTTGTTAAAATGAGGTTGATGCCATATGCAGAGTGATTGAGATGCAAAAATAAATCCCTACCAAATCACTAGATGTTTCTTCCAGACCTATTTCTTGGATCCAGCTTTCTTTTAATCCTTCAGGGCCCCGAGGCGGTAGCAGCAGCTCTGGCAGGATGTAAGATTCTGAAAGAGATGGCACGCCTGGAATCTGAGGCTGAGTCTGCACGCAGCATGAAGGAGGCCAAATACGAGCAGTTTGCCCTTGGTGAGTTCTTAAACTGTCCAATGATAAGAGCTGACAGTGTGGTTATGGAGCCCAAAGGTAAAACATAAACTCACTTACCTAAAACAAGCATTGTCTTCAGAGAAACACAAACAATCCCATCCAATCCCATTAAAAGAAAAAATAAGTAAAATTGAAATCTAAATATAGAACATTAAAAAACAATGATTTATTTGGTTAAAACTTAACTGACTGTTCTTTATTTGTTCAGATGTCTTTGGAGAGTGTTATTCCAACAGTGAAGACAGGGCTTATGCTTTGTTGGTGAGAAGAACACACTGCTGGAGTAAATCCACGGTTCTCAACTTAGCAACCGAGGCTGATGCCAAATCCTTCTTTGCCCACGATGGAGTTCAGGTAACAAGAAGATAACATTTGGCCTCTTGAGATTGGATGTGTTCTTACTTAACCTGTTCTTTTGGTGCAAAGTTGTGACATACTGTAATGTATATATTTAGGCTTCTTTGTCTCCTTCTCGCTACTGTTATTAGTCAGTGCATAGTATTCCCTTCAATACTTTATTTAGTAAATATTTTCTTCTTCCTAAATTTCCCTTTGAAACATGTCCTTCTCATTAGAAAGTCATCAGTGAGAGTTAATTGGTAGTCGGTATCAACAGGGAAAGTTACTGGACAGCATATAAGATACGTTTTTTTTTTTTTTCTGAAAGGATGCAGTTGGAAAAATATAATCCTTTTTTCACATTCACAAGCAGTTAATTATGATTCACTACATGTGTAATTTTTAAAGAGAGAATATCTAATTCTATTAGAGTGGCCATGATTAAGCATCAGGTGCCTCTACATATAAGAGACTAAACGAAGCTTGAAGCTATGGGTTTGAAAATAACTCACATATTGTGTGATGTATTTATATTTCCCATTTTATTGTTATATAACTCCTAATATGTGTCGTCTAAGAATGTTGTCCCAAAGCTTTATGGTGTCAGAATAAAAAGACCTATAGTGTCCCCTTGTGGTTAGTTTTTTTTTCTGCGAGTTAATACCTCTGGCATAAAAATACTTCTTTCATCACAGGCTCTCCTCACAAAGCTTTGGTGGGGCGCCATGACAACAGACACTGCCATCTCTAAACTTGTGGTCTCTTTCTTCATTCCACCCCTTATCTGGACCAACCTCATCAAGTTTAGGTGACAAATGTATTAATAACCAAGTTTGAATCATGCAAAGAGAAATCAGTTTATTTTTCCAATGTGCACTGACAGACTGGTTTGTGTCTCAGTGAGGAGGAACTGGATAATCGGGACGGTAAGAAGGAGTTTGTGGAGCTGGACAGCCTTGACACAGAAAAGGCTTTACTGCTAACAGACGATGATCCTTTGTAAGTTTGTGTTTGACTTTGCATCAGCTGTACAGTAAATCATTTTATTCACCAGAAGACAACTTACAATGTCAGAAATTAGATTAAAATAAATTATTTAAGCTTTTCTATATCATATAGTCTGATCCTCAGTATTCTTTTCTCACATTTTCTGTCTCTGATCTCAAATGAATATATCTAGGTGTCAAACAATAATGTATATTTAATGTGCAGGTGTCAATGTACTGTACAGTAATTATAGTTTGGTTCCTCTTATCCAGGGATTCTTCTCCAGGAGGTCAGACATCTCAGAGCTGTGCCACTGTTTGGTGGCGCTTCCTGCTCCGACGCTGGCGTCGCTTCTGGAGTGCTCCTGTCACAGTGTTCCTTGGCAACGTCATCATGTACTTCGCCTTTCTCTGCCTCTTCACTTATGTGCTTCTTCTAGACTTCCGCCCACCGCCACCTTTTGGTCCCGGAGTTCCAGAGATACTGCTTTACTTTTGGGTGTTCACCTTGGTGCTAGAAGAAATCCGACAGGTGGCACACACACACACACACACCTATATATATATATATATATATATATATATATATATATATATATATATATATATATATATATATATATATATATATACACATACATAGAAACAGACATGATTCCTTTATAGAATAATCTGCTATATATTTTGACAGGTGTTTTAACCTAAATCACTCTTCTTTGTGACAATTTGTAAGGAATATTCAGTTATCTTATGCAGGGACATCACACCTTTAGTGAAGGAGCAGCACTTTTATGAGATGTGCTAAAGTATCAGGTACATCTGAGTAGGCGATGATGTGATTTTCTAGAGTGAGCTCATTCTCTATAGGGAATTTGAGGACCCATGAGGCTCTCACCTCTCTGCATTACTCGCTCTCTGGGAGCCAGGTCAGATAAGCATGATCGCTTCTTGCAGATATCCCTTAGAGCCCTCCTCCCCTGGGTGCAGAAGACCCATTTTACAGCGGAGCTTCCCACTGTTGCTTTATCTGGCTATTCAAACATACATTTATCCATATAAACATAGACATTCATGTACTGTATATACAATGATTTAATTGGTTAGAAAGCTACGCTTCTTTAAAGAGGTCCTGGTATCTTTTTGCAAATTACAATAACAGTTTGGTGGGATTATTATTATTATCTTTTTTCTAACAGAGCTTCTTCACTGACGAAGAGATGAGCATCCTAAAGAAATTTAAGCTGTATGTCGAGGACAACTGGAACAAGTGTGACATGGTGGCCATTTTACTCTTTGTTGTTGGGGTTTCCTGCAGGTACTGAGCAGCAATATAAATGGAAAGAACATTTTCAATAAAATCCTTAAAGGTTCTGGAAATTTATTGTTACGACAGTGTAAGCAAGACTATTAGAATATACGACGGAATTGCTGTTTTGGACCAGTGTTTGCATCTGATCTTGCAGAATGTCCAATGGCACCTATGAAGCGGGGCGGACGGTTATGGCCATAGATTTCATGGTTTTCACTTTACGCCTCATCCACATCTTTGCTATAAACAAGCAACTTGGCCCCAAGATCATCATTGTGGAAAGAATGGTGACCAAAATCTGTTAATTGTGCCAAATTAATTCTAAATTTTTCTCAATTTAAGTCAAGATTTAGGAATTGTTCCAACTAAAATGGTCATAAAGGAGAACAATATTTGTGTCTTACAGATGAAGGATGTTTTCTTCTTCCTCTTTTTTCTGAGTGTGTGGCTAATTGCTTATGGCGTAGCTACACAGGCTCTTCTCCACCCCAATGACCCAAGAATTGACTGGGTGTTTCGTAGAGCTTTATACCGCCCTTACCTGCACATATTTGGACAAATCCCCCTGGAGGAAATAGATGGTAAAAGAAAGACATGTTAAAGAGTGTCATTTAATGAATTTGATATTGTCTTTATTCATCTTATTCCTGAAAATATATTGTAGTTTAAATTAACTGTAATATGTAATACGACACTGATGGATTCAAGCAGGAATGACTTTTAATTTTAACCCAATAAGTGTCCGGAAATATTTTATTCTGCGGTTTTTCTTTTTCTTCTCTCCTGAAATCTTCTGTAGCTGCTCGGTTCCCGGATATTAACTGCACCGATAAACCAGAAGAGATTATCCAGGGTCTGCTACCGCCATGCCCCAATCTGTACGCCAACTGGCTGGTCATTCTACTGCTAGTTATCTTCCTTCTTGTCACCAATGTGCTTCTGCTTAACCTCCTCATTGCCATGTTCAGGTATGTTGAGGGCTCATATTACATACAGGAAGCTGATCATACACACAACTGCTGTGTGAAACATTAAAAGTTGTTTCTAACCCTTTCTGAATCAGTTTCGCCAAAAGGGATTAAAACCGGTAGCACTAGAAGAAATAATGAAATGCCACAACCACAAATTTCAATGTATTTTACTGGAGGTTTATGAGACATATCTATATGAATAAGGCATGTTTAGGATGTGAAAATATTTTCATGCATGGTTTTAGAAAAATAAAAACTATGAAAAATTAATTAGTGGGAGGGAAAGAACAAACATTTAGAAAAAGTGGATCTGGACACTTAGACCACATTGAACTTGTTGACCTATATTAAAATTCTAAATGTGGCAGATTAGCCTTGAACACACCACTGTATTTGCATTAGAGGGACTCGTATCTAATTCCAGACCTGAATCTAAACAAGAATTTTAATTAGAAATTGCAGTTAACAGATTCTTTTGACCCAATTTGACTAAACCTCATGAAAAACAACTAATATGTTCTCCTTATTTCCAGAACTGAAACCTGTATATTACGGGCATTATATATAGAGAAATATGTAAAACCTTTCTGTTGTAGTTTTAATGAATGTGTCTCACAGGTAAGGAAAACCCCAAATAGATTTTTCAGAAATGTATAATTTTGAATCTACAGACATTTTAATCATGAAGAGGGGGAAAAAAATGCATGCCACTCGTTTCAAAAACCTGATTCATGTCCCTTCCCGATTACAATCTGCTGTATAGCCACAGTGATTCCCAAATCTGGTCCTCAGGGACCCCTGCCCTGCAAGTTTTAGATATGTGTCTGTTTCAGCACAACCAATTCAAATCAGGGCTCTTCTTCTACCATTAAGTGCTGTAAAAGCCTGTTTAAATCTATTCTGTTCTGATATGATGCCCGTGAGGAACAGGGTTAATGACCATTGGTATTGCCCATAAATATTTGTTAGTTTTTAGTAATAAAGTCTTTTTTCCCTTACATTTGAAATAGTTAAAAATAGTTCTAAGAATAGTTTAAAAAATAACACCAAAATGAAACTGTTAAATATTTCCTAATTTGCAGCTACACCTTCCAAGTGGTGCAGGGTAACACGGACATCTTCTGGAAGTTCCAGAGATATAACCTGATTGTGGAATACTACAGCCGTCCTGCGCTGGCCCCACCCTTCATCATCATCAGCCACATCTCTCAGCTCTTCCTCTGCATGGTCAAACGGCCCGAGTCTAAACAGGAACACCTTGGTATGCAGGTTCTACAATCAGATTTCGCTTTGGGTCTTTAAAGCCAAAGGGGAATTATTTATGAAGGCTGAAGTACTTCAAAACACACAATGCTGTTTTCTCTGCACCTTACCTTTTTATTTTTGAAGGAATTCTGTTAGTTTAGGTGTTTCTTAAGCTCCGTCTGAGTGCCGTTTCTTCCTGTGTTTTTGCAGAGAGGGAGCTGCCAGCAGGACTAGACCAGAGGCTCATAACATGGGAGACGGTGCAGAAAGAGAATTACCTGGCAAAAGTGGAGCGCCAGCACTGGGAGAGCAGTGAGGAGAGACTCAAGAGCACCTCCTCAAAGTAATTATCCTGCAGCTTAAAGGAACACAAATCTGTAAACTCTCAATCTTAGATAATTATCAGCTTGTCTGTTTTTAGTCATTCTTATTTCCTCTTACATACATAACCAGTATGTGCAAACCAAACAATGTTAGGCTCTATTTAATAATCAGAAGTTATTTTCATAATCAAACTATTCTGTGTATTTTTTCAGGGTTCAGAACCTGCTTAAAATTGTTGGCAGGTTTAAGGACCAAGAGAAGCGACTAGTATCAGTGGAATCTCAGGTAGATTTGCTGCATCACCCGGGAGCCTTGTATGGATGTTTTAATGCTGTAATTGCTGAGACATTGGATAATGTGTTCACTGTAGGTTAGATATTGTGCAGAGGTGCTGTCCTGGATGGCAGAGTGCTTTACGAAAAGCACACTCAAATGTGAAAAGGATGCTCCAAAAGCTCCAAGTCAGTAAAACATTTTTAAAAACTCACTAAAGGATATAAGATACTGGTGCGTTTTTATGTCCAGTTTTGTACTAACAATGTGTTAAATGTCAGCATCTCTAACAGGCACCAAAGCAGACAGCACTGCAGAAACGTCTCAAATTCATCAGGAGCAAGAAGCCAGACAAAAGGAGGAAGAATCTAAACCTGGTCACCCAGGATATGGAGCCAACAAGAAATTTCCTTACATCGATGAATAATAGTCACAACATCTAGTAACAGATGGCCAATCCAACTCTTCCGCTTCCCCTTCTGGTTTTCACCTGACCTTCAGTAGTATCCCCTTTTTAACGATGATCGTGAAGTTCTATGGGATTATCTTCATTGTGAGAGCAGCACGACCATTTCCCTTTTATTCCAACAGAAATGTGCATACTGTATCCCAACAGAAAAATAAAAATGATGGCTACTGTAAATTGGCTTTAAGCTATATAGAAAAAAATAGGGCTCAGCAATTAAAAAAGTTCTGAATAATTAAGAACTTTGTAAAAGCAATATCTTTTTATTTCAATAGGTTCTTTATAATGCAGCAAGTGAAACCATTTTCAAATTCACTTCCTGTGTATCTTAAAATATGGGTTTCTAATAAGTACAACAGAGATCATCAGGAACTTTTTAACATGTATTGTATAACAATCTTAAACCAACCTATAATATTGTATGTTTTCAAAGCACATATCGTTTACATGGTCAAATATGACATCTTTGTAAAGCAGAACACAAAAGTAAATACTAATTGCACTTAAAGGCTAACAAGCAGCACATTTGCCTTGCAGTAAAAAAAAACTGTGAGTTATTACATAACATTTCTATATGTTAAATTTAAATGTATGATGATCACATTACCCAGGAATATGAAACAAATCACAAATTACCATTAAACCCACTTATTTCAGCCAAAATTGCAGAAAAAAATACATCTTTTACAGACATTAATGATGGTCTGCCTGTTTCATTCCAAATGTCTGATCATGATTTGTGATTTTAAACCCAGCTTTCTCAGATGATCTGAGGCTTAACCAACAGAATGCAGCACACAGATTTTAGACTGTACACCACAAGTTTATTAACAACATTCTTCATAACATACATAAAATAGGCAGTGATGTTTTGATTTAAACGCAGAGTAATACATTTGTTCTGTTTTAAACTAACTTTGCTCAAATATCTTTAGACATGCACTGATTTGAAAGCTTTGCTACCAGCTCTCATAAATATCCAGCGTACTGCATCCCAGTGGATTGACGTCTCCAGATAGAGACAGTGTGACTTATAGAACAGTGTGTTATTTGCTTTTTGTTTTACTGATTTGAAAAAAAACCCCCAAAAAATCATTTTTCTTGCTTTCTTTTTTTCCATGTCCATAGTGATTATGTTAGATAAGGGTTTGTCCTCATGATGCGACACTAATCTTCAATCATTTTCTCTGAACTGTTAAAATGCAAACTGTGGATTTAATAAAATCATTTTCCAAAGACTGGCTGAGTTGTTTTCAATCATTTTTTTCACTTGTTAAATCTGTATTGACCTTGATCCCAGTTAAACTAGGTGAATCAGAAACCGATGAATGCCAAAGGTCCATAAAGTTATAAACTGTTCCACTTATGCATGACTATTTAGAAAAAGATCACTACTAATCTGTACCATATCTCCTCCAAGGCATCCAACAATACCCCAAGATCAAATCAGATCATGAAGGGGAAGAACCTAAAACACATTCATGAATGCAACGAAGATTGAAACATTAATAAACAATAAATACTAGAGCTTTGATGAAAGGAAGCTTTGATTTTACCAATTCTAATGTGCATGAATTATAATAAAGAGACAATACTGAAACTTTGTTAGTTGTGCTCTATTCAACTGTCATGACAACAATCCCATATAAAGCAGCTTGACCTTATTCTCTTGAAAGTGAGGCTTCGGGCCCTCTCGGCTGTACGGCTGGTCCCTCCCGATTAAATGCGCCATCAAAGCGTGGCGTAACCTCACAGCGGATCAGCAGAGTGTCATCTTTAATATAAGCTCTCTGACTCAGCTGCTGCAGGTGCATAAAGGTGACGTAGCCGAATCCTTTGGGGTTGCGTGGATTTATGGGTTTCTGGAAGGCTTGCAGGTCTGGCTTTGTCTCCATGACCTCCATGTGATGCTGACACTCGGGTCCCTGGTCTAAAATGGCCAGCCGGATCGTCCCTTGAAACGGCCAAGTCAGCTGCCCATCAAAAGCTCCTTGCATAGTGTGGACAAAAAGGGAGATGTAGTTGGAGCAGCGTGGGGCGTTGGGTGTCTGCAGGTGTAAACGTAGACACAGCTTGTAGCCTGGGCGGCCCGTGTAGAAGCCAGGGCTGTGCTCAACCACTGGCATGCTCGCCTCCTGGTTCCGCAGGAGGGCAGAGAAACCTTTGAGGCGCCAGATAAAGATCCCATGGCACTGCTGGGCCTCCAACTCTTTCACAGTTTCCTCCAGCATTGAGACTCTACGCCTGAGCTCAGCAAGCTGCCCTGCCTGCCAATGAAAGGGGATCGGTTAGTTTTTAAAGATTTGAAACCTACATGTTATACAGCACATCGACCGTATGTTACGTTTATACCAATAGATTAGTGAATTGTTCTATAACCCCACCTATAAACCCTCACTTTAACAAGATGCTGCAATCCCTTTTATATGGTTTAAAAAGGAGATGAGTCTTCCTTTATGAGCAGATAGCACTGATTGATATATCTCAGTGCTGCCTTTCATTTTAATCACCCATCGATCCAAAGTCAGACTTATGACAGAATAATGTACGTTTTAGTACAGATTAATTGCATTTGTTACAGACTATAAACACAAACCATATCAGAGCCATCCAGACCAACATGGGGGCAAATTTCTAATATGAGCATTCAGCAGATGAACTCATGTAAAAAGACATCAGCTTACTGACAGACGTGACTACTTCCATAGTAGCAGAGATCTTGCAAATAAATAGATAAAGTGAATTAATGGCTCTCACAAGTAAACAACATTTTACGTAACACATTGCTTGCTGACCTACTTGCAAAAAAAGAATAAGATGGCTGGAAAGAAATGAACCTACCAGCCTTCTTTAGCATTAGTGAAGTGACAACAGTATAGTTAAGCTTACTAAAAAGGATTAGTAATATTAGATGGACCCAGTGTAACACAAAAAAGAGAGTTCAATAGTCTGCTCAAGTCAATACTAATGACTCAAATCAACATGAAATGCAATAAAGTGCTCTTCTTCAACAGATCTGACGTTAGATATTAGGAATGATAATGAGCTCAACTTGATCAGCTCTTACTTGTGTCTCTTTTAATATGATGAGCTCCCGCAGCTGGTGGTCTTGCTTCACCAATCGCCCATCCATCTCTCGGAGCCTCTGCATCTCCTGACTGGGCTGACATGAAGCTGAGCTGATGCTGCAGCTCGCAGCCCCTCTGGGCCCCCCACAGGCTGACACTGAAGCAGCAGCACCAAAGTCCTCATAGGAAACAGAAGGCCCTAGCGTTCGAAGGGGTTTGGGCGACGTGCCGTTAAGGCTTAGGCTGCGTAAAAACTCTGCCATGTAGCGCATATGCATCTGTGTGAACTCCTGCATGTGCTGAGCCAAATCATGGCGCTGCATCTGCAAATATATATAGCAGTTATGGCTCAGACATACAGGTGCTGGTCATAAAATTAGAGTATCATGAAAAAGTAGATTGATTTCAGTAATTCCATTTAAAAAGTGAAACTTGTATATTATATTCATACATTACATACAAACTCATATATTTCAGATGTTTATTTTGTTTAATTTTGATGATTACAAATGACAACAAATGAAAATCTCAAATTCATCATATCAGAAAATTAGAATATTACTGAAGACCAATAAAAACAAAGGATTTATAGAAATGTTGGCCAACTGAAAAGTATGAACATGAAAAGTATGAGCATGTACAGCACTCAGTATTTAGTTGGGCCTCCTTTGGCCTGTATTACTGCAGCAATGCGGCGTGGCATGGAGTCGATCAGTCTGTGGCACTGCTCAGGTGTTATGATAGCCCAGGTTGCTCTAATAGTGGCTTTTAGCTCTTCTGAATTGTTGGGTCTGGTGTATTGCATCTTCTTCTTCACAATACCCCATAGATTTTCTATGGGGTTAAGGTCAGGAGAGTTTGCTGGCCAATTAAGAACAGGGATACCATGGTCCTTCAACCAGGTACTGGTAGCTTTGGCACTGTGTGCAGGTGCCAAGTCCTGTTGGAAAATGAAATCTGCATCTCCAAAAAGTTGGTCAGCTGCAGGAAGCATGAAGTGCTCTAAAACTTCCTGGTATGTGGCTGCGTTGACCCTGGACCTCAGAAAACACAATGGACCAACACCAGCAGATGACATGGCACCCCAAACCATCACTGACTGTGGAAACTTTACACTGGACTTCAAGCAACGTGGATGAAGTGCCTCTCTTCTTTTCCTCCAGACTCTGGGACCTTGATTTCCAAAGGAAATGCAAAATTTACTTTCATCAGAGAACATGACTTTGGACCACTCACCAGCAGTCCAGTCCTGTTTCTCTTTAGCCCAGGCAAGACGCTTCTGACGCTGTCTGTGGTTCAAGAGTGGCTTGACACAAGGAATGCGACAGCAGAAACCCATGTCTTTCATACGTCTGTGTGTGGTGGTTCTTGAAGCACTCACTCCAGCTGCAGTCCACTCTTTGTGAATCTCCCCCACATTTTTGAATGGGTTTTGTTTCACAATCCTCTCCAGGGTGCGGTTATCTCTCTTGCTTGTACACTTTTTTCGACCACATCTTTTCCTTCCCTTCGCCTCTCTATTAATGTGCTTGGACACTGAGCTCTGTGAACAGCCAGCCTCTTTAGCGATGACCTTTTGTGTCTTGCCCTCCTTGTGCAAGGTGTCGATGGTCGTCTTTTGGACAACTGTCAAGTCAGCAGTCTTCCCCATGATTGTGTAGCCTATAGAACTAGACTGAAAGACCATTTAAAGGCTTTTGCAGGTGGTTTGAGTTAATTAGCTGATTAGAGTGTGGCACCAGGGGCCATCAATTTAACCTTTTCACAATATTCTAATTTTCTGATATGATGAATTTGAGATTTTCATTTGTTGTCATTTGTAATCATCAAAATTAAACAAAATAAACATCTGAAATATATGAGTTTGTATGTAATGTATGAATATAATATACAAGTTTCACTTTTTAAATGGAATTACTGAAATCAATCTACTTTTTCATGATATTCTAATTTTATGGCCAGCACCTGTATTTAATGCGACAGCAGCTCTGTTAAATAAACCTTTTGTTTGATTAAAAACAAATTACATACCCTTTCCTTACATCCAAAGATGTTAAAGTTACAGGCAATGGGTGCTTTTGGGCAATCTGTATCACAATGAGATTCCATCTTAAAAAAAGGAAAAAAGAAAACGATCAACATGAATCAGTTTTAAAGAAAACGCATTTGGCAGGATCAGACACAGAAACAAACTTCAACAAACTTCAACTACAATGGAACAATAAAGTGTTATTTAAGCCGCATGAGCATTAGTACTGGGTAAGGAACAGTTCCCTAAAATTACAACAAAGAGGAAAAATGTAAGCTCTAAATATGTCAAACATTTAACGGCTCATTTCCTGTATTACGGCTCTTACCTGGTCTCTGATTAGATCCATCTCACAGTATTGACACATCACACTAGCAAACGGACAGTGCTGCTCATGGAGCTAGGAAAACGAGACAAAAACAGAGTAAGATCATAAAACAGGTTCTTGTTGTCCTCAGTACCATTTTATAGTAATGATTAGGCATAGGCCAGATACTCATATCAAAGTTAACTATGATGTCAAGTTGTTAAAGGATGTTAAATGCTCTGTCTTTCTGTTGCTTTATGGTTTAAAATCAAATTAAACAATGGAAATAATAAGAATCACATCGGTTTCTGAATTTGTAGGAATTAAAACATCAATTATTAATAAATGATTAGATCTAGTTTTAAACATTACCATAACCACACAATTCCCTTACGTATTGTACAGCATTATTAATTACAAAGAGTTAAAAAAAAAAAAATGTGCAAAAAATAATGCTAATAAAAAAATTACATAATTGGTTGGAAATCTTTGTTTCATCTTTTAAAAGAAGGAAGAATAACCTGATTGGCCACATGCACTGTGCATCCTTTTGCATTTTAAAGCATCCCGTTAACATTTTTATTATCATTTTCTGTTCCTGATTAGTATTTGATAGCTGGAAAAGCATCTACATATCACCCTTGTTTTTAATGGAAAGACTGTCATGCTGTGGCGAAATTAAAAGAGTGCAAGCTATTGCTCGCATAATTTAATGGCTTTTTCAAACTACCATACAACTATGCAGGAAAAAATCAGTAATAACAAGAAAAACTATATTATGAAGATAGCCCCACTAATTACCTAAATATGATGCTGCTACACTTGATAACCGCAA